GCCTCAACCGGAAGCAGGAAGCCCCATCTCCCCTGCCCCTATGAAGTTACCTGTGATGCCATCTTCCTGCCCCTGGAATTTACATATGGCGCCAAACCTAGGACCAATGGGCTACCTGTGCATCCCTAATGCCCGCCTTAGGTTCCACCCCAAACCGAGGCTATTTACAGGCCCCCACGACACGTGTCTGCTGGAGAGATCACCGGACGCCAGTGGTGGGGGTGCCGGTCATCTCTCTCTGTGTTCTCAGAATAAAGGCTGCTTTTTATTTTATACTTCTCATCTTTTGGAAATATTTTTCATTAATGAGTGATAAATTTGGTTTCATTTCATATCAGCAAACAGAAATGAAGCTTTTTAAAAATGTTTTTCAATCAAATGGATGTGCTCTAATATATTTATCCAGTATGCAGTATCTTAATGAGACATATTTGTTTCTATTTTCTTTTATCATTATGAGAAAGGATTTATTCTCTCTTTGTTTCTCTCGGTGCTAGAAATAAATGGAACCCAGGGCATCTCATATGCTAGACAAATGTTCTCTCACTGAACCATATGCCCAGCTTACTATCTTTGGGCCAGACTTTTTTCTGTACTGTTATGAGCTAAGTTGTGTTGTGCCCAAACTCTGACCTTTAAGTAACCCTCACATCTCGGAATGGGACTCTATTTGGATACGGGACCTTTAAAGAATGATGAAATTAAAATGCAGTGATTGGAGGAAACAATCCAACCTATCTCAACCTATCTGTAAGACTGTGGGGCCAGGTCACATGCACAGCCATAGAGAAAAGGTTGTGTGAGGACACTTTGAGAAAGAGGTGATCTACAAGCTGAGGGAAGAAACCTCAGAAAAAACTAGACCCGCTGATGCTTTGGTCTTGGATTTCTGGCCTCCAGAACTATGTGAAATAAGTTTCTGTTATTTAGGCAACTTAGTGGATGGTATTTTGTTATTACAGCCCTAATAAACTAATACACACGGCAACTCATCCATAATTATATAGGTAAAATCAATTTGGGAATAGTAATTAGAGTCAAGTGCAGTGTACACTCCTGAAATCTACCTACTTTGCAGGCCTGAGAGAAAAGGTTCTTGAGTTCAGTGATGGCTTGGGCAACTTAATGTGAGTCTCACAAAACAAAAATTTTAAAAGGCCAGGCTGTAACTCAATGAAAAAGTGCTTTTTTAGCATGCATGAGACCCTAGATTTAATCCCAGTACTGCAAAAAGGAAAAGAAGGCAAGGGAAGAAAGAAAAAAAGGATTTGAAGAAACTGCAGACAAATATAAGTATGTATTTTATTAAATATATGCAAATTTTCATTAAACATATGCAAATTTCATGTGCATATAAAGGAAAATTTAAAAAGTATTTGATGTTACATTGCTACTCATTGACTGTTTTCTTTTAATAATAACATTATTCCTACTTTATCACCAAATGGAGTTTCTTGTAGCAGTTGTTGATTAGCTATTTTGACTGGTGACAGTATGATCAATTCTGGGACTGAGTCAGGACTGACTGCAATTGTTTTTTACTCTGGACATTTCTTTCATTGCTTATTTCACAGCTAATCCTTTACTGCCTGTTATGTTTGATACATTGTATCAACTTGAGAACTCTAAAAGCTTAACTGAGCAGTTAGCTCTACATCCTGGAGTGTGGAGGACATGCCCTTAGGGCTCTAGGAGAAGTTTAGAAGTTTTTACTAAGTGACTCAGCAGGGGGCTGGAGCCTCACTTTGTAAACATCCTCATCCTCTGCAAGAGAAGGGCAGAGAGATGATGTGAGTGCTTCACCCACCCTGTAGGAAGGCTGTTTATAATATAATGGAGGGAAAGAGGCTCCTTCCATCTGCTTCACTGTCTTGCAGCCTTGTAGTGTGCCATCCTGCCTTGGAGTCTGCTGATTCTGCACTAAAACCTCCCCAAACTGTAAGCTAAATAAACCTTTTCTTTCTTAATTTTGGGGGTGACGTATTTTGTCTCAGCATGAGAAAAAAGTAACCAAGACACTAGGGAAACTACAGTGTCACATTCTCAAAAAGCCTTAGAACCAACCTTCCTTGATTAATAATCTTTTTCAGACCCCTCCAAACTAGTGTTGGAAAATTCTACAGAAGAGGCCTAGTGTCACTGTATTTTTAAGTTGTCAAGGAAAATTTTTTCCTCCCCTCCCAGCATGCAGTCTTCAGAGGGAGTAAGAGTAGGGAAGAGAACCCGGGCCTGGTGGTACGTTTGTAATTCTGGCAGCTTGGGAGGCCAGGGAAGAAGATCCCAAGTTTAATCCCAGCCTGGACAATTTAGCAAGTTACAAAAGCTTACCGAATTAAAAAAAAAAATGGGGGAGGGACTCACCAATTCTATAAGGCTCTGTTCCCTTTGTCCTCCAACCCCACTCCTTACTAGGGATGGAACCCAGGGTCCTTGCATGAGCTGTAATCCTCAGTTCTTTTTATTTATTTATTTAGATTTTTGAGATAGGGGCTCACTGTGTTGTTAAGGCTGATTTTGAACTTTGAGCCCAGGCTGGCTTTGAACTCACAGCAGTCCTGCCTCAGCCTTCCAAGTGCTGTGATTAGAAGCATGTGCCACCATGCTTAGCCACCCCCCACCTTTTTTTAAAACTCTGTTTTGTGAAGAGAACTTGCCAGGTTGGGCTAGGACTTGCCATCTTACCAACTCAGCCCCCCCCCCCCCCAGTGCTGGCCTTACACGTGTGTGCCACCTTGCCAGGTTTACCATGTGAGTTTTAAGTGCTCTATTAATTGACTTATGTGTGGTCTTCTGGTGATAGCCAGTGGCTGGATGATCTTAGAATCTGCAGCTGTCATACTTGAAGAAATCATACATAGCTAGTTAAGCTGACCAGCTGAGCCTCAGTGACAACTGCTGTCTGTTAATCATAGAAGCTAAAGTCAATTAGAGTCTCTGAGCTAAAGTTCAATTTAAATTAATCATTTATTCTATAGTTCAGGTGATGAATTGCTACATTACTCAGCTGTGGAGCTAAAAGTAACAGTTTCTTTAGAAAACAAAAATGATCACAGTGCTTTCTTTTCTTTTCTTTAATACTTTAATGTTTTCATTGTGTCTTCTTAAATTCTGTGAAATGCCTAGAGTCCAAAGTAGCTGTTACTTCTCATCAACTGACAACACAGCTTCGAATCTGGGTTACAGCTAATCTGTGAGGATGAACATCTTGGTTGTCAATTTTTAATGTGCCTGGTTCTAGGGTTTTGCTAGTGGACAACACAGAGAAAAAAGGTGGAAGGGAAACACAACGCGGCATATTTAAAGTTAGTTAAAATGAGGACATTAAAGGAAAGCCATGATCTTCCCTTACTCCTTTTTTACTCCACATTTATTGAGCACTAACGGCAATGTTCTAAGTGCTGAGAATCAAAAAAAGTGCATGTTCTTACCGGGTTCATTTCTCTATATTAACTGGCTCATCTGAGGTCTCAGAGTGAAAGATCAGAATAAAGAGGGAATAAATAAAATGTCTTTGAGGGAATATTAAGTACAGAGGCTTCAAAGCTCTAGGCAAAAGGGCAGAGTCCAATTGGGCATAGTGTTGTAATCCCTGCACTTGGGAGGCTGAGGCAGGGGGAGCACTCTGAAATCAAGGCTAACCTACACTACATGATGAGTTCAAGGCCAGCCTGAGCAAGAGTGAGATCTTGTCTTAAAAGGTACGGTGGGAGGACGAGGACTGTGATGACCAAAGGACACAAAGTGACAGGGTAACAAAGGGAGGTAGAAGATCTGTGAAGAAATTCGTATTATTGTTCTTTAATCTTCATAAAAATCCTATCAAGTAGGTTTTTAATTTTATTTTCATCTTTTTGAGACAAGGTCTCACTATGCAGCCCAGGCTGGTCTCAAACTTGCTCTGATCCTCCTGTTAACCTCCTCAGTGCTGGAATTACAGGCCTGCCACCATACCCGGCTCTACTAGGTATTATCATTCCCAGTTTTTGTGTCTTTCTGAGACAGGGTCTTGCTATGTAGTCCGGCTAGCCTCCATCCTCTTGCCTTGGCCTCCCTAGTGCTGGGGTTACAGGCGTGTGCCACCACATCTGGCTCTTACCATTTTATATAACAGGGAAATGAGACATAGGAAAAGACCCTGTGGGTTGCCCAAGGTCCTACTGTTAGCATTTGGCAAAACCAAGAATCTCACCTTCATCTCTAGAGTCTGATTTTAAGCACAGCTCCTGTTGCTTGTCAAAAAAAGGCACAGGATTAGAACTAGGCAGCTTCGCTCCACAGTGAGGCTCCCTCTCTTCCTTTTACTGCACCATTGTGGATATGTATCTTGAGTTCCTATGTTGTCATGAAACTGATGGACACTGGCGTTACACGGGTGGTTAAAGCACCTCTGATTCCCTCCTTGCTTTAGTTGATGGCCCTTCCGCAAGTAAAGCGGCCTCTACCAGGTGCTCGGCCTCGCGTTCTCTTATCTGCCCAGCTGGGAGAGGCGGCCAGGACCGGTGGCCATGGGGAGAGGCAGCCTGCTCTGCCCTCGCGGGGGGAGGGGAGGCGTTGTGGGTCTCCTGCTCTCTGCAGTCCCTGGGCTAACGAGGAGTCTGCAGCGAAGTGCTCTCTGCATCAGGCCTCCAGGTCCCGGGTCCGCAGGCCGCGCCTAGCGCTCCCGAGCCTCGTGGACCGCGGACCCCGGCGGAGCGCAGTGGATGGAGGGCGGCTCTGAGAAGCCCTGGGCAGGCGCCGCCTAGCGCAACGCGGCCTCTGCACCGGTCCCCACAAGACATCACCCGCTGCTGGCAGCGCGTGTTTCTAAGCCGCGCAACCACTGGCAGCAGCTCCGCCCCTGCCGGGGACCCGGAGCCGGCGCGCACAGGCCGACATGGGGGTGGCGGCGGCCTCCGCGCGCCTCGGGTCACGTGGCTCGGGGGACCGCATGGCGGCGGCCCGAGCGCCCTCGCGTCTCGGCCGGCGGGGCGGCCCGGGCGCGCGCGCCGACGGGGCGGGCGCATGCGCAGGGGGGCGCGCCGCCTCTGCCCCGCGGCGAGGCTGTCTATGGAGAGGCGGCGACCGCGGCTGCTGAAGGAGCGGAGGCCGAGGCCGCGGCGATGGCGCCCTTCCCTGACGAGGTGGACGTCTTCACCGCGCCGCACTGGCGGATGAAGCAGCTGGTGGGGCTCTACTGCGACAAGGTAACGGGGCTGCGCGCGGCCCGGGGACTCGGGCTGGCGGTCCCCGGGCGGCCGGGCCTGCGCCGCGCTCCGCCTCCCGGCAGCTGTCAGCCCCGTGCCCCCGCACCCCTTCGCCCGGCCCGGGGTCCCCTCCGCGCCGCCGCCTCGGCCCGGGCCTACGGCACCCGCGAGGCTCCCGGCTCCGCGCCGTCCGGGGGGCCCCGGCCCTCGGGGACCCCGCTCGGCCGAGGCCCAGGCGCGTCCCAGGCCGCCCGCGGCCCCCCGGCGCCCTTCGGTCCCTGGGCGGCTCGGGGCCCCCCGGAGTCTGTTTGCGAACACCCAGCTGTGCGGCGCGTTTCTTCCACGCGCGGCCGCCCCTGTTTGTTTCCCCCTCCTAGCTTTTCCCCGCCTAGACTTGGGAGAAAAACCAGCTTCGGGAACGGGGAGGACTTTCTGCTCCCCGCGCATGGGTTTCTTTCTCCTCGCAACTTTGAATGTATCCCTTCCCGCCCCCGCGTGTTTATTTCCTCGATGTCAGTCGCGCTGCAAGACAGTTGTTCTTTGTTGGGGTCCTTTACCTGGGCTCCGAGGAAAGGGACCCGGGGAAAGTTGTTTGGTACGGGAAGCGAACTGAACCTGGGCGGGTGTCCCCGGGGCGCGGCGCGAACTTGAGCCCCACTTTTGGGCATAGAGCTCGGGGCCTTTGGCTAGGCTTCCACGTTACCATGCCCCGTATTTGCTAGTTTACGCCAGGGAAAATCGTAGGCGTATCCTCCAGCCGCCAGGCAACCCAGTTTCTCATAGAAAGCAAGGTAATAAGTAGCTTTTAAAAGACTAAGCATAGAACTAAACTTTTTACTTTCATAAATTATGTAATATTAAGCAGAACCACCCTGGACAGCCCGCGGAGGTGGGGGTTGGAGGATGCCCAGTGTTTGGGGCTGGCCATACTCTAGACTGGCAGTGTAAAGCAGTGAAGTTTGTGTTTCTGATTTTAGCGCCGCTCCACAACTGTCTTCGTCCTCCCTCCATTTTGGAAATTAAAAAACAAAACAAAACAAAACAAAAAACAAACCAGAACCTGTTTCAGGTGTGGTTTTAAACCATAGGACTGTTCTAGGATAGTGCTTTTCAACTTGTTTGCTGTGAAAAATCCTGACCTCCAAACCTCTGGGCTCTTAGACAGACATCTATTTTAATTTAAATCTCTCCCGGAGGGTGCAGTGCACACCCACTGATGTGAAGCACTTACCCAGGAAAAGTTTAAGGAGTGGGTAAGGTCCTGAGCAGAAGTGTGTAACACTGAACTTACGTGCTGAAGTGTCTTTATCCTCTTGGCTTCTGACGTGTGTTCTAGTAGTTGTCTTTAATTGGAAGGAAGAAAAAATAGTGGGGGTGGGTTTTAATTTTGTCATAAGTCAAAAATGAAAAAGGGAGGTTAAATCCAAGCATTCAGGAGGCCGAGACGGGAGGAATTAGGAATCCCTGGCCTGTGTAGTGCACTGGCCAGCCTGGACTAATTACTACTAATTTATTCTTGGGATAGCAAAAAATAATCACTACTTCTAAATTAATTGCATATAGTTAATGAAGTTATTGTATTTGTTTAAAGTATTGTATTTATTTGAAGATTAAAACTCTGGTTTTCTGAGCCTTGACGGGGGTGATTTAGCCGCGAAAAACACTGCATAGGAATTTGACATCATTTTCTTCTTGATCTTAGCAGCCAACGGAAATCTTTCTTAGGATGTCCTTGGTGAGCAAGACTAGAAAAAGAGGTATTTTGTGATGGCTGAATCTAAAAGAAATTAAGATTTTGTTGTATGAAGTTTTACTGTTATTACCATTTGGTCATATGGATCAGGTATCCAATCCAAATAGCCTCCAGTAAAGCTATCCAAATGAGAACTCGTTTTTATGGTCAAACTAAAAAAATTACCAAGTGTGTTGTTTACTGTATCCTTTATTTTGACTCTGAATGTCCTCATAACTATAAAAAAGTTAGTTTTATTTTCAGTACTGCACTTCCATGCGATGCACATAAGTGCAATATATTTTAGAATTATTCATTTGTTTACTAGAATTAAATCAGTTATTTCTCTACTTAATTTATTTAGACCAATGTATTTCAAAGCAGTTGTAGGCCATTTTAAATATTGATACAAATTATTCTTTGTTCATGGATTTCTTTTTTTTTTTTTAAGGGTGGTTTGAGACAGGGTCTTTGCCATGTGGCTTAAACCAGCCTTGAACTCACTATGTAGCCCAGGCTGGCCTCGAACTCCTGCCCCAGCCTCATGAGTGCACCGCCAGGCCTGGCTCTCTTATTTCTATGAAAAATCTTACGGAGAAATTTTTCACCTCTGTTATCTAGACAATAGTCTTTCATGGTAGGTAGGGGTAGGGAGTATTTCTTTTTTATAGCTGGAGATTTATTATAGGGCTGGATTAGATAAGTAGTCACTGACATCCAGGTGAACACCCACGTCAGGATTAGACCATTTAATTTTCTTGTTGGGAAGCCATAGTAATTTGAGTTTTGGTTTGATAACAGTCAGCTAAAGAAAACCTTTTATGCTAACTGACTGATTAAATTTGGATAATTTTAATAAAAATTTGCATAGGATAATCTTTTGCTTATTTTCTTCTAGTTCTTCAGTTTTTCCTCTAATCCTGAACACTTCATTCTGTTGGTTCTGTTGCTTGACTGTGTAGTTGGTGTTTGTCAGTAGGCCTGGAGCAGGGCTAGATTGTTTACTAGAATACAGTTTGATGGTCAGTCTTCCTTTTTCCTCATTTTTCTGTGCACCTGTAAGAAGATACTGACTGCACTGGGAAGTTTTGGAGGGGAGGATATTATATTGAGAGCTGGGCAGGCAAGGAAAGAGTATTTAATGAGTTCTTACTCCATGCTGATGTTATTTTCTCTAATCCTCGCAAGAGCCCTGTAAGACATTAGTCCTCATTTAAAAAGGAGACAGCCTTAGTGGTTGTACAGCTCATTCAAGTAGTAATTAGTAGAGTCTGAATTTTAATCTCAGGATTTTTTTTTTTCCTTTTCGAAGCCCTTCATGACCACACTAATTCTGCTGCTTATTACTAACTTCTTGATTTTATGCAGAATAGTTCATGTATGGTGTCATTGTTTTTGAGTTTCTTTACTGTGTGTAACTCTCCTTTGATTAAATGAAAGCATTGTCTGACTGAATAGACAAAAAGAAAAAACTTATTTGTGTGGTAATGTTTTGGGGTTTTGTTATATATTTTGGGGGGGGGGCAGTATGAGGGGTTAGATTGAAGCAGGGGCCTTGCACATGCTAAGAGCTGAATCGCCCTTTATGATTTCTTTTTTCTTTTTTATTTCGATTTACAGTCCTGCCTCAGTCTCACAAGTAGCTGGGATTACAGGCCTATGGGAGCACTTCTGTCTTTTTGTTTTTCTTTTTTGCAGTGCAGCATGGGGAACTGCAAGCAGGCCAGCTTTAAGTGATAAAGTACCCTTGGGAATCATTTCTAAGGCTGGTTTTTATATTTTAGGTTGTCAGAGATAGAAAGTTGTAAATTCTTTTAAAGTATAGAAGATAACATGCTGCTGTTCATTATTATGATTATATCTTATTCCATATAGATTCCTTGTTGAATTACATATTTATTATTAGGTCCCTAGAAACTTTTTCTGGTGGTGGTGATGGTACTGGGGGTTGAGTCCAGGGCCTCCACAGTGAACTACATTTTCACCCTTTTTTTTTTTTTTTTTTTTTTTAATTTTGACAGGGTCTCACTAAATGCCCATTCTGGGTGCGAATTTGTAATCGTCTTGCATCAGCCTCCCAGAGTGCTGGACTGACAGGATTGTGTCACTGAATCAAGCTTGGAAACTTTTATGTTGTCCTGTAGAGCATTGTTTCTCAAAATATGCTCCATAGACCATCAGTTTTGCAGATCAGAACAGTTAAAATGGGAACGGGAAGATGTTCTTACCTGAAACCTGATGGAAGTGTTTGTGATGTATGAGTCTAAACCAGTGATGGGGAACCTTTTAGATATGGAGCACCCAAACTACAACATCAAACCCGCTATCCTGGAGTTGAGCACGGAGGTTACCTTGAACACTAAGATTTTAGTTTATGAAAAGCAACTCCTGTGTACTGACAGAGAGGGCTGCGTGTGTCCACTGCAGCACACATGCCATAGGTCACTGCCACCAGTGTATTATATAATGAAGGTCATAGGAGACAGTGCTTGCCAGGAATGGTGGTGCCCTCCTGTAATCCCAGCACTCAGGAGGCTGAGGCAAGAGGTTTGCTGGGAGTTTGGGGCCAGCCTGGACTACACAGCAAGGCCCTGTCTCCTGTGCTCGGAAAACACTTGTTTCTCCACTGAAAAACTGCTGACATCTGGGGCCACCTGACTGTGTGCCTGTGTTGCAGGATGCTTTACTGCGGTTCCTGGCTTTGACCCAGTGCAAGTCTATACAGTTTCTCCAGTGATGGCAACCAAAACTCAGACATTGCACTTCTCTTTTGGGGGGGCAAAGTGGTCCCTATTTTGAGAATTTTTGCTTTAGAACAAGTAGTTTCTCTAACAGGTCTCTTCGATCTGAAACTGTATCTTTATGATAGGGACAAACATTGTTTCTTTTGGAGAGAAATCAGGTATTAAGTCACAGATAACCAGTCTATTTTTTTTATCTGCTGAATGGTTATATTATTTGGGATAGAGTATTTTACTTTTTTTTTTTTTTTAAGGAGAAAAAGGAAAAAAACCAGAAAAAGGGTACAAGTAATATGAAATTTAAAAAATAAACAGTAAGAAATCACTAGTTAATAAGATTACATATTCTCATGTTAGAAATAGTTGTTCAAGTTACAAAATTGAAGCACATAAAGTAGACTTTGAAGCAATGAGAGTGCAAACAGTTTTGTTCAATGATCCAAAAAAAAAACACTCAGTAATAAGGTTATCTATCTTATATACTTAAACATATATGCAGTTATAACCTTTAGACCACTTTCTTTTTT